ATGAGAATAGACGTTGCTAAGTTGGCTGTAAAATATGTGTTTTAGCCCACATATAAAGAAGCCTGTCAGAGTAGATGAGATCATATATCAGACCTCCACAAAATTAAAGGTGAAGCCATGCCAGGACCGACTGATATTAGTCTTTTAAGAGAACCAGGTAGTTGGTTTTACTGACGAAGGTCTCAGCAATTCCTATAAAAGAGTAGTCAGGAGGAGAGCTGTGATCGGCATTGTAGCTCATGACGGTTCTGACAAAATCCAGAGGCCGAACCCATGCATCAACTCCCGTGATGTCAGTGCCATTACCAACATTGCCATAGAACCCGCACTAAATCTTCCATTGCCATGGAATGCTACAATATCACAGACCCATCTTTTCTTCCTTTTTCCCAGGCAAACTATCAAACGGAGGCTCGCCCAACATTTACACGCACAATATTCCAGGTCAATATTCATTTGCAGCATGGCATTGCCATCCCTGATGATGTCCGTTTGGTGAGAGATTTTATGAACGGAAACACCATTCTATTTAATGTCCCACCCACCACAAGCCCTGGTATAAACTCACTTGAACATCTTTTGGGATGAATCAGGGAGAGCAGTAAAAGGGAGACACCCACCTGGAGCAAATTTACACCAGACAACCTTTAAACCCAGAGTGGAACAGAATCTCCCAGCAAAGATTGGTGACACTGATGAACAGCATGTCCCGTCCCGTTACGGAACTTTGTCGCGATCGTGCACGTAGGGAGGGGGGGGGGGGTTCACAACCACATTTGCTAAAATAATTGTATTAAGAAATCTTTTTAAAGATATGTGTGTGAAATTTTGAAGTTGTTTGTAATCTTTCATGAAGAATTTTAAGAGTTTTTGTTTGAGTAAAATCTGTGGTAGTTTTCAGGGGCCATTAAAAAAAAACATTTAAACCACAGGAAGTGCAATATAAGTGTTTGTTGTTTCTTTTGCATGTCTAGCATTTCGATCTGCAATGATACAGCTAGGCTGCACTTAAGCTTACGTTAGTAACACAATCTCTGAATATCATTAGGCGTGACATCCATATTGAACAACAGCGTACAATCAACATGCTTATGCAAGGCACGGATTGTGCCTGTTCAAATTTCAAACAGCAAAAAATAAAATACAATCTCTGCCAAGTATGTATAAGTGCTACAGTCAAAGCCAAGCAAAGTTAATGTAAAATGCTTTAAAAAGAAACGTTTAAATTTATGCCTTCCCTTTTTAATTTAAATTATTTCTTCCCGTATTGAAATAAGTTGCCTTTCAAGATGAATTAAAACCTCAAGGATATACGCCTTGGCGAAGGCGAATAAAAAGTCCATTACAAGCATTTTTCATTCTTCTTAATTTTCAGTGTTTTATTAGGTTAATGTGGTTAATGCTGCTTGGTTAGAACAGGTATTCTTTCCCTGCTCATATTCAGACATGTTATACGCGTTCCAATACACGTTTGTTTCATTGACACACATATTGTAAAGGGTGACATCCGGGGCAGTGTGACACGCCGCTGGTCTGACATTTTTGAATAATTCACTCTTAATTTTGGTAAAAAGAAGAGGGGAAGAGACTGCGTCATGCTTTGAAAAGGTGTTGCTACTGTAGGACATAGGCATTGATCGATCGTCAAAAACATCTAATTTAAATAGTCATTGCAAAATAAGTTAGAAAATCCAATTAGCATTAAAAGAATAAATAAGTAAAGTACTGCTGTGAAAAGGAGTGACTTTTAAATTTTTTCTGACATATTTCCAAAATTGTGCTTGGATTCATTTTAAAATGGACCTCCCCCCTCCCCCTTCAAGTAATCCTGGATCCGCACGTGATACGATACTGATGCTGATCAATCCAAGACTTTATTTTGACTATAGCCTACACTGTATGCCTAAAAATAAGATTTTACTGTTTATTGGCAAGACTTTCAAACTTCATCACTTCATTGGCATGATTCATGATTCGTGAAAATGAAATTAGACTCCACATTCATAATGTCTCTGTAATTCCCACAAATACTGTAGTAACGAATGGTGGGTGCATTATCCGTCAATATTTGGTTGAAATATTTACCTTAACTCATATGGTTATTTTAACTAAAATCAAGCATATTGATCTATATTACAGATATAATAAATTCTGAATAAGCAATTTGAAATAATAGAATTAAAGGCATATGATGAATTTCATGTACTGGGGAAAGATTTTGAATAATATCTGTTATTGGTCTTAGATAACTTTAACTTATTCAGACATTCAAAAAACTGTATCCTTACATTTTTAAAAATCGTCTATTGCCGAATCGTCTAGGTATAAATCCATAACTATTTTTGGTGCATCTGAGTGAAGCAACAACCAACATGCATGATTTGAATGTTTAGTTTAAGTATGATTTATTCAAGTAGAGCCATGCTTGATCGCCTTATTACGACGCTTAAAATATTTCTATAAAAGAAATATTGCCTTACATGTGCATTAAAATTAACATTTATGAAATATGTAAAAAAAATCCACCTTACATATTCTCCCTTGCTGCGGCGGTATGACTCCGTGGCCGACCTACAATCTATACCCTGTACTCCTCAATACACTACATACACATTTTCAGGCGAAGTTTGATGAATATTTGTCGTTAAATACTAGACTGTAATGTTTGGACTAGCGGGTTTCCAGATTGCGAAGGCTGAGGTGATGAGCGCAACTATCGCAATCGGTACACATATCACAATGGTTATTGTTAGCATTCGAGATACTAATCTTCGTTTGGTACTGTTTCCCTTACACGATTCCGTAGTAATCTGGATAAAGTAACTCGAAACTGTGAACTTTGTAAGGGGCAAAACATACTGGGTTTAAAACTGGTTTCAGCCGATATACAAATGTACCACTTTCAGGGGGATCCGATGAAAACTCATGACCCCCCCAACTTAACCTAACGCATGCATAAAGCTAAACAATGTCAAGCAGTAGTAATAAGGGGGGGGGGGGGGGGGGCTCTCGAAAGTCCGAAGGTTCATTGGTCAGAAAAATCGTAACATCAGTAGTTATGTTACATTTACAACATAACACCAGTAGTTATGTTACATTTACAACGTGCAACTAAAATCTACTTTTTAACGGTGAGAGGTCTTACCACACGACTGTGTGACCCCTTACATTGATCTTATTTGCATGCCAATGACATGGATCAAAAGAATGAAAGGAAGGAACTCGACACAAAAAGAAACAGAATTTATTAAGGGGTAGTGAAAGGTGCGCTCGCATATAATAGCTCGAGCAAGCTATTTCAAAATCGCGTTTTTGTCGAACAACACATACGGTACATTTTGTGTTTATAAATATTTAAGACACATACACGTCATTTCAGACATCATTCACACATCATCTGAAAAACAAAATGACACTTCCCCACATTTAACACGCCCATGTTGAAATAAGCGTCGGAGACAACATGAAATATATCGATACGTAAATCATGATTAAATTGTCTTGCAATTGATATCAAAAGATAAATAAATAAAAAAATAAATAAATAAATAAATTCATGTAGTAAGTCAGCTATGTCTGCAGATCTTATTCAGATATTTCTAAATATATTTTCGTTGAACATCAACCTCATCACATTTATCTAACATGTGCGTCGTGTGCATTGTTAATAATGGTTGCAATGAGCTTTATAAATTGTTTTTAAAAACATTTATCCATTTTAGCAGAGTCACACCCCAACTGGTTGGTGCTTGTCACAAGATTGATATTACTGTCGCTCCTGGCATTATTGTCGCTATATGCACCTGACACCTTGGACTAGAGGTCTCAAGCAAAGACATAAATAATCAACTTATTCCCGCAACGCATGAAAAATGAGTGCACTCAGAACAGCGGACTAACAGATCCGCGGACCAAATATGGCGACCCACTAAAAAGCTTACCGGTTAATTCCCGATTAAACATTGAATAGATTCCCCGCGGGGATTACGCAACAAGCATTCGCCATATTTGATCCGCGGATCTGTTAGTCCGCTGTTCTGAATGCGAATGATACCTGTTTAGATTATAAATGAACCTGCGTGATGGAACCACATTTCATTTGCATAACATATGCGAATGCCTCATGTGCCCGAACAAATAGCACTGGCTATTAAGGGCATCTGACCGCAATAATGCATAGTATACCTGTAATGTTGAAGAGAGAATTCAACGTATTTTCGTTTTTCTTATAGAAACTTGTTTGTTTTCATTCTGTTGAAATAAGGCGCCTTTGAATTTGAAGCAAAAACTAAAAGAATACGTGCAGCTACATCACAAGCATTTCTTATTTTTCTCATCTTTCCAAGGATTTAAAAGTTAAATATTGTCGTGCATGCTAAGTTAGATCAACTGGTATTCGTTCATTCTCAAATCCAGTTATGTTATACGTGTTGCAATGCACGCTTGCCTCAATGACACTGACACATGAAAACTGGTGAAAAACATTGACCTTCTGACAAGTAGGAAGATGTTGCTTATTACCTCTGGCGATCTGAGTGTAATAAGAGGGGAGGGGGCGTTCTTTTCCCCGCCCCCAACCCCGAAGTGATAGGACCTAATTTGTTTCATGAAATTTCGAAAAAATTATTCCACATTTGTTAAAGAGAGGGATATGACCTTGCTAATACACTTTCCCCCCTCCCCCGGCCCCAAAGCCTATCGTTAAAATAAACAAAATAAAATATTTTCCAGGTCGTTTCCAGGACTTATAGCTACCAAAAGCTAACTCTTTTTCTTTTTTTTTTATTTTCAAATAGTTCGTCTTTCTCCACTTCAGCCAGCTATTTTCAGTATTTTCGACATTCAGGTCGGTAGATTCTTGGGAAATCGAAGATTCGTTGACAGCGCAGTTTTGACTCATCCATTGGAATCCCAAAGAATATTCATTAGTTACTCATTAGAGGTAGATTGTGTATAATGCATGCCCATCCTCGCAGTCTGACACACCGACACACATCGTCACGTTGTCAATGGTAAACAACTCATACGGTGGAAATATTTTCAATTATCTTGTCAAAAATGTGCATAACTCCTGACCTTACAAAAGAGAAGTGAAGAAGTCAATGTACACCTACATTATGCAAGAATGTTTGACAGTTACTGCTTGAGGCGTGGGCCTTATACATAAAGAAGAAGTCTGTTGCTATGCCCTGGTTACTTGAAGTCGTATTTTAAATCTGACTTATGACAGCCCACCGAAGGAGATAGCAGGTAAGAGGATTTCATAGCTTTTGGACTAACATTGTTGAAGCTGCATGACCTATGATAGCTTAAAACCACAAACTCTGATCATTTTCACTGATTAAATTAATTTTACACCTTTTCGTCAGGTTAATTTTAGTGGTGTAAGGATTCAAGGCATATTGCACTCACTCACTTATTAGGTACTTTTGAGTACAAGTTAATTTTGGCAAGGGAGCACGGTACAAATCTAAATTTACTTTTAAAATTGATGTTAAGATATATATATATATGTGTCCATGGAGGAAAATATAAGTAGCTTAGCATGAAATATTATTGTTATTATTATTATTCTAAGAAGACTATCAAGACGTACGTGTAATTATAATGTATCTGTATTGTAGTTTGCAGGGGCGGCCTCTATAATTTCACCGAGGTATCAAGGCAGTATGACAATATGTATACAGCTTATAGGGAACATCAATGTTTGTGGTTGATAAGAAGAGAACGCGACCTTAACTCGTGTACGACGCTTGGGGGACGAAGTCAAAGGTGAAGTTGTGCTAAGTGCTGCATCAGCGTATCCTATATAGCCTACATCAACTTTCTTTTATCTAAAAGGCCGAGTGAAAGCTTTTTTAATGAAATATGGCGGTAAGAAGCCTCCAAGAGTTAACTTCGTTGGGACTTTACCGCTCAGCCTTGGCTGAATTTGTAGGGACGTTGTTCCTAGTCTTCGTCGCCTGCGGCTCTGTGACGGGGCGCACTGCACCCTCCATAGTTCAAGTCGCTTTTACTTTCGGTCTCAGCGTCGCCACCGTAGTGTGGGCCGTCGCTCACGTCAGCGGCGGCCACGTTAACCCGGCAGTCACGGTTGCCATGGTAACCACGCGCAGGATAAGCGTTGCCAGGGCGGTTCTCTACGTCATCATGCAGTTACTCGGCGCGGCCGCCGGGGCCGGACTCCTGAAAGCCGTAGTCCCTTACAGTTCAATCAACAATCCAAGGGGTTTAGGGGTGACCACCGTGGATGGAGAAGTGACCGCTGGTCAAGCGTTAGGGATAGAGTTCCTGATCACATTTGTGCTGGTGTTCACAGTATTTGCTACCTGTGATGGAAGACGCACAGACTTATCCGGGTCGGGTCCGCTAGCAATAGGGCTGTCCGTCACTATGTGTCATCTATTTGCGGTAAGATAACAACACTGATGACAAATTATTATAGCATTTATATTTTTATCCAAATTATCGGGTCAACAGCACTCTCGACTTTCGTAGAACGATACGAGTTCAAAGCGCGCAGTGAAAATTGCGATCAATTCTTCGTAAAATGTTTGAGAAAAAAGATGCAGTTTTGTAGGGCCTATCATTACTACCAACGATTCAAGTTTGAAAAAAAAATAAACGTTTCCCTGGATTCGGTTGTGCAATTGGAAATAAACAGCCAATAGCCCCATAAGGACTTCTTTTACACTGTTAGCTTATTCTATGGGTAGTCTCATCAGTGATGTAAATTCTACCCATAACTACTAGGGTGCAAAATACCCTCTATCAGGGCCACCGATCGATTTTTCACAAGATATTCACAGACATGTCTTTGGATAAATGTTCGGTCTTTAGATAATAGTCGGGGTAGGTGCAAAGCACATTTCAAACCCTAGTAACGCAAATGCTAACTAGCTTAAAGTGACACTAGTGGATTTAAGTAGGTTTTAAGTTGGGGAGGGGAGGGGGTACAATTTTACTTTGACTGTAGAGCACAGGGATGAAGAATTTCTTGGATGTATCTTTGATTTCGTCCGTTAATGAGTTATCCTTCTTTAAAAGGTAGAAAATGAGGAGGGGGGACCTGCCAAGCTAAGGGGGTACGTGACACATGCCCGCTATTCCCTAAATCATACCCTTCTTTTAAACAGTAGCGTCTTATGATTTCACACATGTAGGCCAACAACCATGCAATATGTTAGTTTAGCGAACAAACCCTCCATCGCTTAACGCTTAATATAATGATAACATAACTGATAAGAGTATGTTTGCGTAGACGGTATGTAATAAATCTGCCCATGCTGAGACTGATTGCTTTTCGTGACAGCTGCTTTATGGTGTCCTTTTTCAATTCGATTTTGAGCGAGTGTAAAAAAGTCCTTGTAAAAAACAAACAAATAAACAATAAATTATGATACGGAAAAGCTTTTGTAGACACTGACCCCGGCTGAACTATATGGGTTGTAAAAAAAGAGCTGTCACGCCATGAGATAGCACAAGTAACTTGAGAGAGAGTCACCCATGATAGAGAGTCTGCTTCCCATTCATTTGTACGGGTAAGCCTCGCCCTAGATTTTGACCCACTTAGGTCAGGCTAACCCTAACCATTATAACTAAATGTTGTACATGTTTCTGTCGTTACACCGGGTAGTGGACAGATAGAAAGAGTGATAATTTATATATATATATAGGTATTGGGCATTATCGGGATGCAGTGCAAATGTGTAGAAGACAAAAATTGACAAAGGTATTGGACATTAAGAACTTTAGGCCTTATAGAAGGATTAGGCCTTTACTAAGCACTAACGTCCATATTAATTACCAAACCAACGAATTAATCCACCGTACAATTATTTAGCACCAACAAAGCGATACCTAGCACTAACATTCATCCGCCCTGGTAGTGTTGGTTAATTTGTGGGTTATGTGGTTAATATGGGTGTTAGTGCTAAAAGATCTGCGGGTGTTGTTAGTAGACGCCTAATACGTTTATAAGGCCTAGGTCTTGTGTTGGTTTATCTAGCGGACATTGGGGTTATCAATTTAGAGAGTGGAAGATAGGAGAGTAAGTACAGATAGTGGACATAAAGAACGTTAAAAAATCGGTTATCACTCAAAAATAAGTTTTACATTCACATCTTAGGTCATGTTTGCAAGGTGTATCTTTATCAGTTGTGAGATAGGGGACTCTGTAAAAGGTAAGCTACGGGCCATAAACTGGGTAAACATTTCTTGGGTACACATTTATTGGAAAAAATTAATCAGTGCATGTTTAAACTTTCTATTTCAGATCCAGTACACGGGGTCAAGCATGAACACAGCTCGTAGTTTCGGTCCCGCCTTGGTACAAGGAGAGTGGTCTAAACACTGGGTAAATTTATACGCCTGCCCGTCTAAAACGATTACAGCTAAATTAAATAGAACCAATCACACACACACATATATTGCATAAGGTCTAATGTACGAGTATTCATTAACAACTGGTAGAACGTAAGTAATGGGTCCAAATTTGCGGCCAATTTGCAGATGGCCTGATATTTTGCTGAGGGTCGCGTACCACCATCCCCTCCTCTTTATTCTAGAAGTACCAATTCTAGAAGTACCAATCCAATCCTTGAGCCCTATATATGCTATATGTCGTAAATCTATCCTCGTCTACCATTCGATATTTGATCGCTTCGCTCGACGTTATTTCTGAAGTATGTACCCCATGAACATCCATAAGCAAACTCCTGGATGCTCTGATAGGTACGGTGTATTACCCTATTAAGTTCGATTTTATATTCACCGATCGAAAAGAAATATGCAACAAGAGTTGTGGATTTCCAAACAGCTTTATTCCCGCTGCCTGAATTTTCCTCAGTGCCTAATGTAAATCTACCACCAGTCCTATTATACCAAGCTGTACATTACGTGTCTTATTGAAATATTACCTATATACTTAAGATATTATCTAGTCTTACGAAACAAGTGTCACGAGAGGCTTGCGACATCTGAGAGGGCGTGAGACATGTTAAAGAGCGCCACCGCGTCCCTTACAGTCCTCCCTTCCCCCTCTCAAAATGATTGGTATCAGTCATTTTGGACTTAAACGCAGATGTGCACACTCGTTATACAATATACACACTTGTCATACAATGATAGTGTCTAACTATGTCATACAATGATAGTGTCTAACTATATCAAAAATAATGTCCTTTTATGAGTACTGTTATTGTTATGTACAACGTGCATTCCATATTTTAACAGAGCCCGTTATTTTTTTATTGTATTTCAAGAGTCATCCCCTGTTACATACCATAAATATGTAAATCGTTTGTAACTGTCACGTTGACAAAAAAAGTTTGAAAGCATCGTTCAGGTGGCCTCCACGCCGAGTTTGAATTAGTAGATATGAATGTAATAAGGTTTAATTTCTTGTTTTTGAAACGCTCTCCTTATTGTGGTTGGCACTGGTTAACTAAGAAATTGTAATTAAAATAGCCAGAAAACTGATTTATAGATCTTAATTTAACTTTCTCCACGGTTTAAAACAAGACGGTGATAAAGAAAACGCTCAAATTTTCTAGAAAATTTCTTTGCTATGTATAAGTCGAACATCCATTGATCGCTTTTAATCCATGCTTTCAATTTCCAATATCAGATCTACTGGTTCGGGCCTATACTAGGTGGAATGGCCGCCGGGCTGTTGTACGACTTCGTTTTTGCTGCCGACGCCTGCAAGAACAAATTCAAGCAATATCTCACAAACTGGAAATATGATCCGGACACGTTTTCAGAGCCCGGAACAGGGGTAAAGAGAGAAAGAGTCCCCAGCGACGTCGGTGATGAGACGGCTGAGGAGCTCAATCGGCTTAATTCAACAGCAAGAGAGGAGGACAGGGAGGACGACGTCTAGTCCTCTTGAGTCAAAGCCCGTCGTTCTTTATCAAAAAAAAAAATCATTTCATTTTCCAAAGCTCAACTTGTCGTTATACCTTCCTACAGGGATACCTGTATATACCCTGGGCGTATTTCCCTGGGAGAAGAGTGCGCCATTAGCCCCACGCATTTAGTCGGGTCAAACGAATTTTTAAAATATATATTCACTTATCTAATGCATTTTGAATAAGTTTTTTGAATTTGGGAAGAGGGTAAACGTGACATTTTGCGTTGAGGTAAAAACACCAAAAACGCAATCAAAATGAACGTATATTGGTTGAATGACGTGATTTTAATGATATTAATTTCAAAGTACTGTTTTAAGTAGATATCATTGTAACAATTATATTTACATATTTTGTTTATAAAGAAATGACCTTTACATGTATGTTGTGAATGTTTTTTTAAAGCATATTCTTTGTGTGCAGCATTGTCTCAGTAGTATTCCTCGCTCTAGAAAACCAGGGTCATTGGCAGTATTGCAGTTCCTCAACAGCATTTCTACTTCCCAAGCATTTTAATGTCAACCCTGGTCTCTGTAACTTTCGGTTTTCAGTCGGGACATGAACTAGTTTTATTTGTACGTAGGTCTGTTACGGTCAGTATATGTAGTAGTAATAATAACAATATATTTATTTATTTTAAGTCTAAATTCCATATATGTCCAGCAGACTTTATAATTAGTAGAATTATGTGCGTTACATATGTAAGAAACAGTTAGACACCTGGTCATAACAAACTGTGTTGACGATCTCTCCTCCCTGGGGATGTACATGTATTACCACGGCCCCTGAGAGTTAAATACCAAACAAAATTGATAATCAAATATTCTATGAATTTAAATGCGTTTTATTTTGTAAAATTATGAAAAAAAATTAGGGTGAGAGGGTTGCCTGATGTGTTTGAAGAAAACATTTATATGAATGTGGTTACATGTATTTTAAATACTTTAATCTTATGAATATTGTGAACATGTGACTGTTAAATAATTGCCGGTACGTGTATAAAAAACACCATCATTAATATGAATATTAGCTATTGTCGGATTTTCCTTCTCTCTCTGAGCATACAGAGGCCCCCTTATCTATTAAGTGCAACAAGAAAAGGCGCTTAATTGGATTCCTCCTCCTCAGACAGGTATTTTTTTGCGCTTGATAGTGGCAAAATGTTCTCTTCACAGACACTTATAAAGTATAATACACATTCTTTACTTCATATCATACATATTCTTTACTTCAGATACAAGTTTTATTTGTACTGGAAATTAGGAAGACGGTGTATAGGGCAGCAAGGGAGCGTTCATAAAACAACTCTTGATATTGTCCTATCTTGTTCATTGGAAGTGAAGGAAAATGTGTCACCTTTTGACAGAATTGAGAACAATTTCATTACCTGCGAAAGGCAATCTGGAAAGGCAACCTAAAAGCTCCCATGGGTATAAGAAATAAATCTGCTAGTGCACTGTATTTAATTATTGACCAAACAAGATTTTTTATTGAAAGTCCATAGGACATTGGCCTTTGATATACTGACCTCATAATCAATAGGGATAGTCTTAGCTGGAAAAGGTCTGATTACATATACACATTTAAGCCATATATTATACCCTCATGTACTTCTTTGAATGGGGGGGGGGGGGCAGGGAGCGCAATGTAAATTAATATATAATACTAAATGATACGTGTGCAAATGCAAAAACGTATTGAAGGAATTTTAAAATGTATATTTGTTGTTTTATTAGATATGCAGTATTTGCAAAAAATAAAAGTGTGTGCGTCGTCGACAAGAGATTGAAAAAACTAATAACAGAAAAGTTTTAAAGGGACAGACATTGAAAAATATGTAAGAATGTCGGTGGTGAGACTTTTACCTTCAAAAATTTAATTGCGTTGGACAGAAAGAAATCCGGCCACAGAGGAGAGAAACGTCACAAACATGGCATTACTTTAACAGGGCATTAAAATAAAATTATATTGTGCTGAATACATTTACTCTGTTTTAAAAACACTGGGGTACGCAAGTGCAAACTCTGTGACCAGATGTATTCCTGTAAATTAGGACTGACTCATGTAGAAATCCACAAATGTGACAAATGTCTCTACTGGCTATTTCAGTGTGAGACAGTTTTTACCCGAAAGGTGAATGGTGATATTCCTTAAAAGCATTCACCTTGAAAGACTAGCGTAAAAACAAAACTAGGACAAGTTCTGGCAAATAAATTTAGCCCCGAACAGAAATTTTGAACACCATGAAATAATTCACACTAGAACAGACACCAATTTTACAAATGCCAGTACTATAATAAGACATTTACTTGTAAAACAGCTTGCGATAGTCACAAAAAATCCATACGGGTGAAAAAACATACAAATGTCAGAACTGTATATAGTTAAGACATTTACTCGTAAAACAACTTACGTTGATATCATGAAAGAATTCGCACTGGTGAGAAAACATTTAAATTCCAAGACTGTAATAAGACATTTACTTGTAAAACAGCTTGCGATAGTCACAAAAGAATTCAAAGTTGTGAAAAAACATACATTTTCAAATATAAGAAGGTTAGCTTTAAGCTGAGGGTCCCATTGGGAAGTGTCGTTACGTGGTTGTATTATTGCAATTATAGGCCTATAATTCTCAAGTCCGTGGCTTGCTCTATTGAGCAATATTAATTTATATAATAATAATAATAATAATAATAATAATAATAATTATTATTATTATTATTATTATTATTATTATTATTATTATTATTATTATGAAAGAAGGAAAAACGTCATTAAAACTAGATAAGTATTTGATAATTAAAAATGGCTTTTTCTGAAAAGAGCTGTTACTCCAGTTAAACTGTACGCCTACGTTCTCGGCTGAACTGATAGCCTAACTCATCAGTGTTTGAAATCACAGCAAAATGCTGCATTTCTTTTAAACTAGTATTCAGAGGCAATTTTCATTGTTTTGGGAAATGTTTTGCATTTAAGTATGCATAAGCTTTTTTATATTCGGAAAAGCATTTTACTATTCGCGTTGATGAACAGAATAAGTAAATCCGGTATATACAGTAGGCCCTACCAGTGCAGGTATTAACCCTTTTCAGGATATTAAGGTTTGTCATCACCCTGGGAATTCTTTTCATTGTTTATACTATTCTGACTACAGAAATAAATAAACAAGCAATTGTTATGCATATAGGCCCTAATATGAAAATACGAAAAGCACAAATGCATGTAGATCTGAATAAAGTATTCCTTTTATACGCATATAGGCCTACTTTGCACGCACACCGACGCACGCGCACTCATACTCGAACGTTCGTTCTCTTATAAGCGTAGCCTACAGCATAAAAATAATTTAATAATAATAATAATAATAATAATAATAATACAATGAAAATTGATAGTCGAGAAACAGAAAAACTTTTGAAACACAGCTCGAAAATCGAAATCTAAAGGGTTTATTTCCCTTCAAAAAAAATTTGGCAGCCCCTGTGCCCACTGCTTAACAAAGTTATCGTAGGCTACATGTAGGGCCTATAAACCATGAAGCAAAGCAACATTTTTTTCAACGTGATATATAGATTTTGTGTGAAGCAAGAGACCTTGGAGGCTTGGGGTTTTATTTGTTTCAGGCATTTGCACAGGTAAATATAGGCCCCTATAGTTTCCCATACTTGACAAATAAATTAAAAATTTTGCTTTCTGCCGTACATTTCAATCCAAATATGATATTAGGGGCTAGTCGTTGAGATCCAAATAGATATAGGCCTAAGTTTTTTTCATGTAAAGGGAATTGAAGCTTATTTCAGAGGGTATGCATACTATAGCACTGTCTGAGTGAACACATGAAGGAGATCTTCGTGATCTTTTTGAACAGAAGCTCCCCTGGGGAATTCTATTAGGCCTAATTCTGCACAATGACACTGAAAAAGATGCACTTTACTGAAAGCGTCGTATAACATCTAAGCTACATGTCTTTATCAAACTGGCTTGAAATTTTCACTGGAGTAATTACAATTACATGCATATCAATATAACTGTAGGCCTACTCCAAAAATCTTAATGAAAAAAAAACTTAAAGCTGTCATACCACTAGTGTAGCTAGGTATTTTGCATTAGGCCTATTTTCCTTTTTCTAATTGATTAGGCCTACTATAGCTTTAATTTTCAGTAATTTTCAGTATCATTGATATTCAATGCAAAAATGACGCATAAAATGTAGAAGAAATAAGGGTCCTTAAAATAAAAATATATCTTGAAAATAAAGAACATGGAAGTACATGTATAATTTTTGCTGCAAAGTTTTATCCAAATTTCTATGTCAAAAATCATCCTCATTTGAAAAAAAAGAGTTAGCTAAAACTAAAACTACACAGCAGTTAATAACTAAATCTTAAGATGGTTGACTAAATATTGAAAATAGAACTATTTAAAAGTAAATCAATTTACACAGGCCTTTTCGGGTCTTAATTCTGACCTGGAAAATAGCGATAGAAAATTGTCCAACCGGAAGTGACATAGGGTAGCTATCATCAAGGTCGGCCATTTGCACCAAACAAAACGATTAGAATAAAAAGGAAAAGTGAAATATACAGCTTAGCGGTTTGTGTTCATCTGCAACTGTATTCTTTAGGCGGTAAGTGACACAGTAGCAATGCGAAGTAAGCCTTCACATGCTTACAATTTCTATACGTAACTATTGAATTAGCTGGCATTTAAGGACAAAGAAAAAACTTTTATCAATCTCAATTTGTCATATCTTGTCTAAATTGGTCTTGCGGTGATCAACCATGTGTGAGTTTTCCGCATACAAGGTATTGTTACTGTTGTCAATTTGAACTCGGATGCAATATGAAAATAGATTAAATTAGATCTTATAGTGTGGATAGAATGCCTTCTTGTGGTGAAACTTAAATGAATGTTTGAAAGGATGGTATTTTGTGTGAACATTTTTATTGTTGCTGTTTTTACATCTAGGCTTTGGATTAGTATGATTGCACTACAGAAATAGGAAACCTTTTTATTGAAGGCATTATCATCTAAGACTCAGTGTATTTAACAATAACATTGTAGAATACATGCAAGCATCAAATTAAACGCGATGATAGAATTTATTATTATAATAATGTCTTAAAAGAGATTGAATTATGGAGTAAAAAGAGGGAGAGAGAGAGAAGTGTGATATCGTAACAGAGCATTTGTGGCTCTTTTTTCTTTATATGTCTGTGAAAATGTATGTATGTACATACTTGTAGTGGAGATGCCTTATATCTCCTTAAAGTACAGTCAGTTGATGTGCTCATAATTTCTTCAGAAAGAATAATCAGTTTATGGAATATTTTAGTTTACTACTCTGCATTTTTCTTTTTTTTCTTCTTTTTTGTTTCATAAGCATGTTTTATTCTTTGAAATAAATGGAAGTACTTTGCTATATGGAATGCATATTAAACGAATAAAGAAATATATAGTATGACATTGAAAACCAGTTTTGTTGGGATGTTTCTGATTTTGTAATTCTAGTTTGAGACCTCATCTGTGAGACTGAAAGCCAATGGTCAGTCCAGTTTGAAGCCATGCTGTAGGATATTTAAATATTTCATGAAGCTGGAATTTTCTTTACTTACTTCTGAATTGGACAATTATTCACTAAGAAAAATAGCATTTATCCAAATGTGTTGATTTTATATTCCTTCTCTCTGCTACAGGTCAGTCACAATGCAAGGCTTTGCACCCTGCATATCACTGGTTGTCCTGGTGCTAGGGCTATTCTATGCCACAGAGGCCTGCAATGAGAATGTGTGCGCCCCGTTGGTCAGCAAGTGTCAGCTGATAGATGCCTGTGAGTGCAACATGGTAGACATGTCCAACTGCACTTGCTGCAAAGGGTGCCATCAGTGTCTGGAGGACCTGTACACAGAGTGCTGCTCCTGTGTTGGTAAGTCTTGCTTTGGGAGGAAAATGAATATGGACTATTTAAAATACATGCTGTTGATGGGTATAACTGTATTTTTGCCTCCACTCTTTCTTCTCACTTTTTCTGAATTTGAGAATTCTCCAGTGTAAAATATGATTTTGTTTCACAGCTTCAGTGTTTTTAGTTTTAACTAGAAAAATAAATTTAAAATGACGAAATGGGAATGGGGGTTTAAGAACTTTTTTGTTAACTGTGCAAATGGTGTGTTGTGTATGTGTACATTCAGCCATAAAAATACTCGTATGGAAATGCCTCCTTTTCAATGGGCAAAAAATATAAATCTTTTTGATACATAATTTTGGAATAATTGAAATATATATCTCTTTATGTAGTGTGTGGTGTTTTTACATATAAAATAGAACTATGAGGTGGTCTGCTTTTCAGTTTTGTTGCCACCACTCATTTAAGAATGAAGTAAATGAAAATACAGTATCTGTAGAATTCACATTTTTTCAACTGAAGAGATGGCAATTTCTCCTTTATTGGACACTTAACAATACAATTAAGAATAAAATTATAGCAGTAATAATGATATGAAAACTTACTAGAAACACAATCAGGGGAACACTTTGATGATGGCAGATTTATACATACTAACTAGACCTAGTATAGAAGTTACATATACAGTAGTTATATCCATATGTACATTTTAACCATAATTATGCATAAGATACAATAAATTCTTTACTTCCTCTTTGAAAATGGTGTGGCATTATCACTGTGTATCTTGAAAACTATATGAGGGAGTTGACAAGTTTTGCCTTGCGTTATAATTCCAATCATGAGATCAGAGGTTATCAAGTAATGAGTATGTGTGTAATCCTCTTTAACTTATAGAAATTATGTCCTGGAGCAGTTCTTGTCTGAATACAGTGTCTTGCAGTCAGTAAATACATGGTGTTACAATTTCAGGTATGTGTCCAGAGCTGACTCAGGCCAGCATGATGACCAAGACCAGCTCTATAGAGGACCTGGCTGACCCTGTCCCTGAACTGTTCCGTATCCTGACCGCCGAGGAAGACGTCCACATGCGCTGGACAATCCACACATACCCAGCATATCAGGAGCTACCTGGCTTTGTGTACAAACCAGAGGGCTTTGATGGGGTGGAATTTACCATTGATGTTGGTGAGGATTGATTTTGATTCTTGGGACAAAATTATTTTTTACCTTTGGCTTAATGTTTCCCCCCATATAAACTATTTGGGTAAATGTTTTTATAACCTGATACAAGTTTTTATTCATTAACTGAATTACTCTGTTGGATAGTTTGAGTACAGATCATGTGGTTTTAAGTTACCGCAAGGTTCGCAAATGAATGGCATATGTATTTTGCTTGTTTCTTTCATTTTCTCTTTACATTGACCTTGGTATGAACATTTTTTATCCATCAGCATTACTAATTTTGAAATAAATCAAGATTGTCATCTTAGTAACAATTGAAGGAGGTACAGGTCTGTGCATTTGATGGCTTTTCCTGCCTAGTTATTGTATTAAAATAACTACTTCAGATTCCAACAACAAAGATGTGCACAAGATGCGGCATCAGCAAGGCTACATCCCGTCAGACAATCGTAACTGCACAGTGGCCTTCATGTCGCAGTGTATGCCCCTCAGTAAGTGCAAGTACTCCTGCAAATCCATGGGCGCTGCGCGATTCCGCTGGTTCCATGAGCAAGGGTGCTGTGAGTGCATCAGCAGCGAGTGTCTGGACTACGGGAAAAGCACGCCAATGTGCCTAAACTGCCAATCTAAAAATGAGGTCGATGATGATGACGAGTTAGTGGATGGTGTGCAGGAAGACAACAGGAAGCACCGCAATAAAAATGACGACAAACCAGTTTTCAAAGAGAAGCTGTAAAAAAAAAGTCTGGTAATGGTTAGGTGGAGGATGTGACGTTGTGACACTCATCTTGCATTTATGAATGAGATTAACATAGATTTACTCATACCACGATCTTGCAGTTTTACAATGGTCTGAACTTGCTAGAAAATTGTAGAGATCTGTCAGTGCAAATATCAGCAAGATGCCTTTTAGACCCCAGTGGTTTGTAAGACATTTGAGATTAAGTGTAAATTTCTTAGTCAGCATTTGTGTGTTTGTGTTAAAAGCATTAACTCTCTTGTCATGGTATTGCTTTAAGTTATATTGCAGGTACGATTTTACATATCAGCTGAATAGTGCAAAGACAAAGAGGGGGAAGTCTCTATTAACACACTGGAAAAATATTTAATTGTGCAATCTGCAGTGGAAATATTTAGTATTGTTGTCATAGTCAGGTGATTCACAGTGCTATCGTCTGATTGACATAATACAGTGAGGTTTTGCTATTATTTCATTTCATATCATATCAGATGTCTAAACCAAATATTTCAGTCTTGAAGCCTATAAACAATTACATTGGTATATATATTTGAATATTATAGGGCTTTTATTTTTAATATCGCATACAAACAGTTTTTATCTGATGTATTTACGTTTAAATATATAGGTATACATATATATATATACATCAATTTTAAATATACAAAGTACTTAAAATCGCAAAATATGCATATTTATAAAATGTTTGTGCTAGCTTTTTGTAGGGAAGTCTTAGTCCCATAAGTTTTTTATTTTTTTCATACTTTTTCCTAACTTAAATGGGAGACTGAAAGGAAATGACTACTAGAAATGTGGAAGTCCTAGAGATTGCAAATGATTCCGTATTTGATTTTTATTTTCTTATACAGTTGTGATACACTGATTATCATGCCTTCAGCACCCTGAAATTCAGAGATGACAGGACATTTTCATTTGTTGTCAGCATGCCTGTGACATTTCCAGTGATCTCTCAAACTTGGGATGATCTGGAGTGGTAGGGGCCACGTATTACAAAATGTTTTCAAAATGGTTGGAAAACACTGAAACTATGTCTCCAGTCCCACTATTTGTGGCATCCCTGATGTATCCTTGATGTGTACTTGATGCTGAGGGGAATTGTATGATTGTTTCCAACACATTGTTTGTCAAGGTCAAGATCTGCCAGTGTTCAAGGAATTATATAAATAACATAACATGAACTTGGAAATATATTATATAGAGGCTTTAATTAGGTATCTTGTAGCCGGTGTAAATGAGATGTATGAAACAGAAAGAACAACCCATTATACAGTTTGTTCATTGCTCCTAATTTCTTATCTTATAGTTCAAAGATAAAGGTATTTTTGTGACGAATAACGTTTTTCCTTTAAACAAACAAACTGGTAATAATTTGGATCTAAATTTTCACTCAGAACAATGAAAGTATCATTATGGAATCACCAAGATTATCTTGAACAATGACAAGTTATCAGTCTCTCAGAGAATATATTGATAAGTAAGTAGTATAGTAAGTATATACTGTCTTGTAGGTGCTGAAGTTTGTCCAATTTTGACAACTGCTGTTTGAGATTTAGTCTTCCACTTAACATTTGAATATCTAGTCTACCATTTCAGCATTTAGAAACTTGGTGCCGTTATTAGACATGTTATTTGTGATCATGTTTATGATTATCAGTACCAGTATAATTGTGTCATACAAGTCTTTTTGATATCATAAACTATGAGATGAAATTATTTTAAAAAGAAGTCTACAATTTAGTATTCAGGCTATTCTGTAGATTGCCATAATTATATCATTTATTGACATAGTACCTGTGTATATCATCGAATGTGTATTATAACATACAAAATGCGGCAATAAATGTTGCTAGAGGAAATTTTGTGTATTCCTTGAAATAAAAAAAAAATTACTTTCATTTTTTTTATGAATGCACAGATTCTCTGCCCATTACTCCTTGGTGTATTTAGGTTACATGGACCATTTCAGAATGGTAGGAACATGGAGGTTTACCTTCCATGGTTTGAATTTTAATTATTTTAATAAATAAAAATTATTTAAGTAATTATGAAAATAATTTTTCCTGACACCAGGTACAATTTGACCGTGAGTATTAACCACCTACTTTGGGTCTTAAATATCCAATGAGTAAACGTTTTGATAATTTCATATTTTATTTCTACCCCAGTAGGTTTAAGCTTAGTGCTCCCAGTTGATGTGACGACTCTGGGCTGTCTTGGATTCCTCTCGGTCGATCTTTAGCATGTAGAGGTAGAAAGCAGCTGCAGCTTCTTGCAACTTTTCTGAGCCGCAAAATGTTTTGGACAATAGTTGCTTGTTCTTTTGTTGTATTTATTATAATTTTGTATATACTGTCTCCTATTATAGCGCCAAAGGCGTTTCAGGTACAAGGTGCCCATGTTTTGGTGAGTTTGCTGCGCATGTCCCTACAGAGTACTGACTGCTAAATTTCAGAAAACTCGTCTTAGTACCTTACTCAACTTGGCCACTTTATTTTACGTACTAAAGTAGCTACTGTATGTTGAAAATAAAACAAGTATATATCAGTGCTTACACATGGGTTTTGATGCTATGTCTTTGGAGATCGATTGCTAAAGGCATGTGCACTGAAACGGATATTAGTCTATAACTGCTACTTCAATCATCAGTATAGGGATGAATTCAACTACATAATCGTAGAGTTTTATTTATAGGTTACAGGAGGTTCGAGTGGGATTGGTCTAGGTATTGCAAAGGCAGCAGCTAAAAAGGGAGCAAATGTAACACTAGTCGCTAGAAATCTTGTAAGTACTAGTAATAGATCAATTAACACCCCCCCCCCCCC